CACTGTTGCAGGGAACAACAGCCCTTCGTCGTACAAACAACTTGAGCATAATGGTAATCTATCCAAGCAGCGCTACAGAGATTCTGCTGGATGCGGACCAGCGACCCTGCGAAAGAGACAACAGCATCAGTTGTCCTGAGAACTATCACAGGTGGCAACATTAAGTTAACGCTAGGTTTAGCCTGGAATGTCATATTGTGACAATTTTCACACTAGCGAGAGGAGCGCCAGGCCGCTAGCAGGACTAACAGCGGTGCGTTGGGCCTGTTTCCTGGGCCACTTTTAACTACTATGTACTGTCCGATACTGTCCCCAACACACTGGATGGGGACATTTGCATTGGAGAGCTCCATAGCACGAACTTAAGCGGATCAAATCCTCCTCTGGCTCTTGATTATGGTGATATATTACAAGACTATGAGCTCCTGAGAGCCTGGCTTTCTGTGAGTGGACATCGGCTGATTAGTTACAATGTATTCCATTCTACTCACATAATTAAGAGTAAACCAGCAGTGCATTAAATGGTTCAGAAGAGGGAAAGACACATTTCGACCCCAGCACGCTGCTTGACAGCTGGAACGAGTGCTAAATCACCGGACGCAGACTTCAATCAAGTAATAGAAACCTCGAATGAACACCATGCACTGGAGATGAGAACGGCAGAGGACCCACGCGATGCTGGCTCGCTTCCGAGCGAACCGTGTCTCTTGACAGGCCCGAACCAACTCTCATTTGATTGCGTACCGTGGTGCATGACTCTCGATGATTTACATTACGGTCCGAACAGATGTAAATCACTGTGATGACATAATAGTCGAAACTGACTCAACAATGGGAACGATCCCAGCCGTAGTATCTGCGCTATATAGCTGAGCTGAGATGGTCTAAGTTGCCAGCAGAGACAGTTTCAGGATCAATCTACACAACACTTCGGTCCTGTGTTTTGTGTAGAATGAAGCTGAGATTAATTCTGCCTCCAGATGTAATCACGGAATAGCCTCGGGGTACTTGCCTGCGGAATAACTTGTCTCGTAGTAAGTAATATTCCGGAGACCCTGGATGCTTTTTAGTGAGGGTCTGCAGCCACAAACTTACTAGTCAAGTTCCAAGGCTTTGAACACGGAGGTAAAAGCCCAGCGGATAGCCGAGCTTGGGTCTTGGCCAGCGAGTGTACTGTACATACAGTTGGACTTGGATGACAGCATACGCATTAAGTTGGAAGTTACAGTAGTGGTGTCGCTGCTCACCGAAACTGTGAGTGGTGCGAAGTTAAGGTTGAGGAGAATCAAGCAAGACTCTGCTGGTCATTGGCAAAACTTGTCGGAGACGAAAGCGACTGAAGGACAGACAGACAGGACTTGGAGTGGTACCGAGCGTTAGGACGGAGTCGATGAGACTCTCGCACTTGTTTCCCACCCTGAGATTAAACTCTGACAATTTGATCAATTTGATCTAAACAGGTGGGCGGCCGCTACGGCAGGGTACTGGACCAAAACAGTAAGGCACAATTTGGTCCTGCGTGACAAGAATAGACTAGACTACACTAAGCCGGACACTGTGAGACCCTGAAACCGAAAAAATGATCGTTGTATCATCACTAGCAGCAGCATCGAGCCCGGCAAAATTACGGGCATTCCACAACGCTTTGGGTATCAGACCAGTTCCGGATTCAGGCAATCCTACCTTTCCTGTTGCGGAGGTGATGGAGAATTTTCGGGGTTACACTCTTCCTCTCTTATATCATTCTGAGCTCTTAAAAACTTCTCAAGGCTTTGCTTATCTCCGATCATCGTTTAATTGAATAGGTATTATCAAGTAAGCATAGTCAAGGGGGAAAGAGAGAAGAGGGAGATAATAATCCATTCGAAGTCCGTACAGTACCAAAACCTTCGAAAAGATAGAAGAAAAATAAACGGGAAAAAAATGTTTGACTAGCTCGGAGCTCTTGTTGCAGTGGTGGCTGGATGTTAAGGCAACTCATTGGCCCCTGAAGACAGACTGAGGGAGCGGCGCCAGAGCCGAGAAATGTAGCCATTTGCCCTCAGTGAGTGGCTATCGACTGTGACCCTGGGGCGGGATGACCCTACGGAATTACTGTTTTGGGTGCAGCTATGCGGGGACTGTGACCAGTTCATACCCTATTAAATCGGTTATTCTTAGTCAGATCCAGTTAGATGCAGTTAGCGTCTCCACTTCTCCCATGGCCAAGAATACCTCCCAAGGGCCAGGGAGCAACCGGAAAGCCAGGCACCTCTTGAGGCCAACCCATGATCCGGGGCCCACACGCCTTGTTTCACGGGCAAGACACCTTAACAGTCTAGTCTAGCAGTACTTAGTGGTCTAGCAAGTACGAAGTAGGGACTAGGATTCTCCTAAGGGAGGAGTCAGTCCCTAAAACTAAGTAATTCCTACCTAAATACGGAAGAGTGAAAGAGTCTCACGCTCTCTCAAGGAGACCCAGGGCAAAGAGAATAACAGTCGCCCTGAAGGGGAAATTCACCACCCCATTCATCCATCCACCATCCATCACCACGGACCCTGCCTCCGCTTATATCGTCACACCCTGATTACCCCCATTACTACTACTAACTAGTCACATCTGATAATCTAATAACACCGGCGATTTGTCTGCTCTCCTCATTCTTTTCCCTCTGTCCTCTGTCCTCTGTCACCCTCCCTCCACCTTTCACAAACCCTCCCCCTCTCAAAAAGAACCAACCCTCCCTGCGACGGACCACACCCCGTCCGTCTCCCTCATCATCTCCTCACCTCCTTCCTCGGGTTAACGCAGGCCCTGACGCCAGGGTCTTTTTGTTGCTTTTGAACGGCCGATCAAAGCTGACTCAGTCCTCTCATTCACCTTGACCCATTAATCCGTCACGAGTCGCTTGACCAATCCTCGACCGACCTAATCTCTCATTCCTTTTCCTCAGCGCTGGCGAAAGAGAATTCCCTACGGTCGGCTTTGAATCTAGACTGGATTGTCAACCCATCAGGACTTGGTAGCAGCAGGAGACCATATAGAATTTCCGAGGGATTTTTAGTCTCGCGATTCGCGATCGGAAAACACCGAATTCCATTGTTGGTGGGATCACCCTTCCTGGCTACTTCGACCCATCGCGCGCAGTTTTGGCATGCTTTAGGGGCGTTCTCCTCGGAACCATCGCGTGCCTCACTATCTGTCAGCATCGTCACTTCTGATTGTCGACTTGGTTACGAGCATGCTTGTCGCCCTTTCCGCGTCTGTTCGAATTATCTGCTTGGTCTTGTGACGTAGTTAGGCCACCTCTTTCTGTGAGGACGTTGTCCGACCGTCGACGAGATCAAATGGCAGTCTTTGATGGAATCGGGTCTCTGCTACGACCCTGTCTCGCCATTTGGATAGTACTGGCGACCATCATCACCCCGGGAGCTTCTCAGTTCTGTTCATTCTGGAGTGGTAATTGTGTTGATGCGCTGGCACAAACCGCCGTCTCTTTTCAATTCCCTCCGCTTTTCACCGACAACCTCAATCTTTACTATGGATTCGATGCCAATGCGCGCGGAAAAGGTCAACAGCCCATGACCAAGGTCAGTTACTGGCTCAGCTATGGAGGCAACATCGACAATTCCATCATTATGGGCAATCACACCACCGAAATTGGCTTGCGGGTGGGCAATCTAACCGGCACACCTTCGGGGTCCAACAATGGGTGCGACGGCGTCTGGGGCCCGCAATGCTCCACCGACCTGAAGGCATTATTAACCGAGGCCCTCTACGGCCTCACCAGCAGTGGGGAATACTATACATTTCCGCTGCAAACCGTGCTGAGCCAAATGCTTTTGAAGAGACCCCACCTCCCGAGTTGTTTCCCGCAGCTGTTCGACGTTGGTGGCATCCCTACTATGGGTATGTAATGCTGCTGCTCGGTCTGATTGTATATCATCAACTAATCCCACATGCAGCGTTCGTCCAAGAGACCGGTCCCGACCAGACTGCAACGTTCCAGACCGCCGGGTCGAGCAATAACCCGTGGAGGACATGGTTCCTCGACAACATGACGGCCCATGAGCAAGCTGCGCAGGTTGCAGTTGCCATTATTACTCGTGCGCCTGCGTACGACGGTCTACTACCACAACAGAGTGGTGATGTGCAAGTGGAACTTGTTTGCACTCAGGCTCCCTCTTCCGGGAGCTCCTCATCACCAAGTAGCGGTTCATGAGACCTCTGCATGTGGTTACTTGGTTCCTTCTTCTAAGATTTTGATGCCGGAAACACTAAGGCATATAAACATCATCACGGCCTCTGTGCCCTATCATATATGACCGCCGCGCACGGTCATCCGTTGCGGACAGTGTCCGCTCGCTCCGCCGAGCTGCATTCTTATGGCAGTGTCGCGGTAGCTTACACCTGTTCACTCGACAAGCTTGACCCTTGCGACCTGCACATTCTATGAAAGGGACACTAGGCAATATCGGGTGCCTACAACATGTCGACAAGCAGTGGTGTCGGAATGAGATCGAGGACTACCCCTCGAATAGCAGGGAAAGGCTGTCTTTCTGGGGCTGATGATAAGCCAGATTCATCGGCCAGCCTCTGCTGCGACCTTGACCATCACCAAATGTGCTTGTGCTGAGTATGTCGTCATGAATAAAGCGGCATGCTCGTAGGACGCTCCATTATTGAGACTGCGTTTGCCAGGATCTCTGCCAGCTAGTCCAGGGAGTAGTCTCGTGTCGGCTTGCATCTTTAGCTGGGTTCCTGTCAAGCCCCAGTAGCGGGCGCTATTTATTCGAAGCGCGAACTCTGAGCGGCACACATTATATACATCAACATGAGCCATTCATATGTTAGATAACTGAAATCAGAATCCGCAACCCTATAAATCCCAAAGCTCCCAACACCTAGATCCATATCCTGTACAAATGGAATCACCCGTCTTGAATCATCTTCACCTCCTCCCCCCCAACCAAAACCTCATAGCCAACCTAACCACAAACCCCCCAAGCACCCCTGAACTCTACAAGGTAGACCACCCCATCTCAATCCCCTCCAACTCCCCGGGCCCACGAAAATCCTCCAGGATATCCGCCTGCTCACTAAGCATTACCCGATCCGTCTGACAGCCGACCCGCGCCAAACCCCTCCAGCGCTCCAAATCCTCCGGGTTCCGCTTGTCCCCCTTGGCCTCCTCATTCCGCTCCCAATGGCCCTTGGAGAACGCGATCAACGTCGTGATTTTCTGGTTCGGGATATCGAACACCAGCGAGCAGATGGTCCCCGTCTCCTCGAGCCAGTTGCACTGCCACAGCTCCCCCGGCCGGATGCATTGGTACGTCGCGGTCTGGAAGTTCCTGCGGCCCGCCATGGGCCCCCCGTGGATGGCGTAGACGATCCGGTCCTCGTTGTAGAACCACATCTCGTAGCGCCATTTCTCCGGGTTGCCGGCGGCGTCCTGCGCCGCGTAGTCGTAGATGAGGTGGCGGTCGTGCAGGTCGGCTGTGAAGTGGGTGGCTGTTGTGGGGGTGGGCGGGAGGGCGGGCATTTTGTTTTTGTTTGTTTGCTGGTGGGTTTCGTGGTTGTTTGTTCGGGGGTGGTGGTGGTTGGTACTAGGTAGGTTTGGTTTGGTTTGGGTATGTGTTGGGGTTGTTGGTGTGTGGTTTGGTGTATGGGTGCGCGTGAATTGATGAGGGAGACTTGGCAGGGATCTTTGGGACTATATATATCTACAAATTTTTACCATGGTGCTTTCTAGATTGGATGATTCTGGCATTGAAAAAACCGGAGTGCCATGGAATCTTCGGTTTCTCGAGTCTTGTACTTATGTCACGCTCTCGTGTGCTCGGCTTTTCGTATCGGGATGAGCGTGTCGGATGCGGCGGGATGGGTGGGATGATGTCATTTCCTGGGTTTATGGTCTGAAGGGCTGGCTGGCTGGCTGGCTGGCTGGCTGGGTGTTATGGGGCCTTCTTAAAGGGGTGGTAGTATACCTATTACCTACGGTGTACACTACCGTTGAGGACGTTGTAGTGGGGATGGCATGGGATGGCATGGGTTTACTCGGTTGGGGTGAGCGGCAGTTTCGGCCGGGTTGTGCCTAGGTTGGAGGGTTTGCCTAGGTTCGGTGGTGGTGGGTATGGTTTTAGGATGTGTTCGTAAGGTGCTGTGGATGGATGGTGCTGGTAGTTTATGGTTGCTGTTTAGGTGCACTATTCTATGTCTATGTGTACTACTAGTATTCTTAGTGGGGTTGGGTGATTTGTGTTTCATGTGGTTGGATCTCTGGTAGAATTGGGGTTCGGCCGAACCGTTGCATGATTTGCTGTCTTTCGCTATCGCATTCAACTGTACGGTACATATATAGCATGAATGGGCTCTTGATTGTTGCTGGTAGTGAAGAAGGACGCCTTAATTTCCGGCCCTCTGCTTCATTATCGCTGAAGCTTTGAAGCTACTACGTACGTAGTGCGCACCACCCACGTGGTGTAGCAGGCAGAGAGCCAAGATGGCCCAGGCGCTGCCGCTCGGCGCCTTATGCGGGGCGAATTGCTCGCTAAACTTCTACCGTCAACGCTGTCGATCTTGCCAAGCAAGTAGTCTCATGAGCCAAATTGGCTTCCCCTCTATGGTAAAAAGTTGTTCTTGCAGCTGTGTGTGGCTCGAGGATGGTCAGCTACAAAACTGAATTCTGGTTTTTTTTTCGCCTGTTGTTGGAGTTGTGAGCGCTTAATGGTCCCAGACCGCACAATGGCTGGATTGCAGCGGGATGCTGTTGGGTTTTGCTACCGTGGTAGGTCGGGTTGCTAGATCCTCTATATTCTAGGGGCAACGCATGCTACCTATATGTATGAGTCTCGATGCTGTGCTGATTGCAGATGCGATCATGACATGTTTGTACGTATATCAGTGAGTACATATGCTACAGCATCGGAAATCGGCAGCGATTGGTCTCGCCCTACGCTCTGATCTGCTTTGCTTGACGATCATCATCAGTCATTGAAGGATTCCAGATCGGGCTCGACCTCTTCGAATCTGCGATTGTGGACACGCGATAATACCACTGGCGCTTACTGCCGTAAACCGCTCGGAGAAATGCCTACCGGGTAGCTCCTCTGCTACACAGTCTGTGGCTAGCCAGAGAGCTTAAGTATGGGGCTCCCGGTATAGTTTGGGTCCAACGAGTCATTGACCAGAAAAGGCGATCAATGCTCCAGTACTGCCTGCGTCACTCATGGGACTAGAACTCACTTAGCTCAATGGAAAGTCAACGTACCAGTCCATAGCTTAAGCATTACTGCAACATTTAAAGTTTGCAGTTCCACTGGGGAGGGCAGATCCGAAGCTCATGAGAGAGGGATCGGGATCGAATCATAAGCGAAGCTGGACCGACGTAGCTGAACGCCGTCATGTGTGACGGCATCAAGGTCTCATATCGGATGAGGGCGGAAAATATGATGGGCTTGACAACGGTTGATTGCATGAGAGCTGCCGGTCGATTTTGCTGTGGTGTGTCGAATGGTAAGTGAGCCCTGACCATCTGTGACCATTGGAAAATGCAGGGAGAGCTAATTATACTGCTGCAGAAGCGCCCGACTGCGGACAAGACTTTTGGGTTTATACATAAGAGATTTTAAGACATTGAGTCGATAGACTTTTTTCCTTTTGCACATAAGAGTATAGAATTTTTTTCCTTCGCTCCCCCCACTATCGATACTACTTCACACCTAGCGACGTTGGATGTTTCCTCGGGAGTGGTCCAATAAGCGATTTGAACCGAAGTGTGTGGTGGTGATTTCATCTCATGATCTTCTCCCTTCTCCCCGCTACCTGCATGACGTAGCAAACACAGCATAATCGTCATCGTCGGCCCGTCCGAACATTCCGCACTTAAGCAACTATCCCCTCCGACCATCTGAAGATCCACCCTCAGATTTATTAGACGGATCAGAAGTCCGCTGAAACACGATCGATATCTTCTCGAAGCTCAAGTCACTGTTGCCCGGGGCATCCTTATCGCTGTCTCACCCATTTCAGGACGAACTAGCCTATCAGATCAACCGGAGGATCTATACAACCCGTTTCTATACCTTCACAGCTTTAGAATCCATTCAAAATGGTCGGAAAGGCTATCCCGCTCGGCCTCAGGCTCTGGGAGGTATGTGACACACTCCACAGATGGCACCTTCGTCAATACCAGCATTTCGTGCAGAAGCACTGCAGCGGCGAGACTAACAGCGAGATGCTGAAAATGTAGTTCCTTTGGACTCTCCTCATCATGGCCTTGATCGGTAACATGATCGCCGAAGCATTCGCAGGCAACCCTGCCACCGTCAACTATGCCATGTTCGTTTCGGCATTCTCGATGTTCACCCTCTTCTACACTATCCCCGCAACGCTTAACCCCGACTGGGCCATCCACCCTATCTTTCTGATCGTTATCGATACCCTCAATGCGATCTTCTTCTTGACCGCTGGTATTGCTCTGGCCGCCAGGCTGGAAGCCCACAGCTGCGGCAACGACGTATGTAACCCATGAGCGGAGCCGCAAGACCTACATTTAGGCCACTCCCAGAACAACAGGAACCCTTAAAACATCTGCTGACTCTACTATGACACAGAGCTACACTCTCCACAATGAGATCACCAATGGTTCGAACAACCGCGGAAAGCGCTGCCGTGAGGCTCAGGCCTCCACCGCATTCCTCTGGTTCGCCTGGGTCGGCTATACCGTCTCCTTGGTCTTCTCGATCATGGGCTCGCGCTCCGCTGGTGTCAACCTCCGTGGACGCACTGGCCCCGCCCGCGGTGCTCGCCCCAGCATGGCGCAGGTCTAAGCGTGCATCAAGTATGTCCGTCGAGCCTGGACGGAGTCAACACACTGCTCCACCAGTGGTTCTCTCCCTAGGCGGCGAAAAAGCCCTGGTCATACAAGACCTCGGGTTATAATGCAAAGGGACAAAGAAAAGCTAAAAATGAAACGGTAAAAGGGAAATGACTTACGGCTTTCAAAGGACAAACTCGTATGGGACGCAGTATGGGCCATGACGCTATGCTCAAGGAAAACAGTCAGAGTACTTAATCTGATATCTCTCTGATGGCTGGGTGTTGGCTGATGAGATTCGAATATTTGACCGTTTTGAAATGGTAATTATACTGGGACTTTTATTTTGGTTTCTGTCAAATGGTTGGGGGTTGCAAAGGAAACAGGGCTATAATCGGTTGGACGGATTGGGTGGAGTTGACAGTCCTTTATTTTCTTTTGATATCTATCTGTTTTACTATGTGACCGATAGTATGTAATACTTGGATCTAATATTGTGTGATTTTTATCTTATTGTAATTGATGCCCGATTTTAGAGGACAGTTTGGTAGATGCTCTGGCTTCTATATATATATGTAAACAAAGAGATTATAGCAGGTATAGGCTCCAGCATGTCCGAAAAGTCCTATGGTGGTTAGCAGATTCTGTACGCGCTATAATCACAATCTAGGTAATTCCAGCGCTATTGTATTGTGTTGATGGATTGGCTGTGTGGTCATATAATCTATATTTACCATAGCTAGCAGCTTTCTTTACTACCAGTGACCTGTTGTATCTTTCATATTTAGTATGATATGAACTATCATTGTCAGACTCAAGACGCTAGATTGCTTCGTCCCTGCTGATTCGAGTGTTATCCTAAATTCCTAAAACATAGTGACCGAGGACGAATTCACCAGTGTTGTATAGACGAGATTGTATGACTACCTAGTAGTAGCAATCATTATGACGATATAGTATTGGGGGAGCCTTAAGTGCCCGGGGTATAGGCTCCCTACTTACTTCATGAACACAATTTATCCAATCAGCCCAAGACAATACACTGTTGTGTTATTATAATATGCTATCTGCTGAGATCCTGTCTTCCATCAAACTGATTCCCAAGGATGCAAGAGTCTCGATTGGTAAGGAAGCTGACTCGGGTCGATTAATGCATACATCGTGAGCCAAAGTCAGCCATTGCTCAATAGTGGCTCAATAGCAAATCATCCTGACATGTACTGCATTGTCTTCTAATCGAGAGTGTTCACCGTGAATTCGTCGAGCAGTCACAACAATGAGGGCAAGCAAGCAACGGCGGGGCACCGGTGCGGCCCGTGCAAGAATTTCTCCAGAGGCGGCGGAATCTCCCTCTTCCTTCCACCTCCTCGTGGCCTTTCTTACCCCGATCTTAGCTCCTCTCTTCTTCCCCCCCATACTCCTCCCAACCTCAACTTCTCAATCTAACGAACAATGGCAATCCAGTGAGATTGACTCAAGTCGCTTCTCTTCGGAAAGGCCGCTAACCATGTTCCCCGCAGCTACCTGATCCTCCTGTCGCGGCAAGGCAAAGTGGTTCGTGGCCCACCCAACTTTTGACCTGGCTGGAATCGCGGACTAATCGAAACAAATTTCCCACTCCCCAGCGCCTTGCCAAATGGTTCACAACTCTTTCCCCCAAGGAGAAGGCCAAGATCATCAAGGATGTGACCCAGCTGGTTCTGTCGCGTCGCACCCGCATGTGCAATTTCCTCGAATACAAAGGTTTGTCGTCATCGCATCCAAGCTTCCCCTCCTTTTTTCCCAGCCACACCACCCCGCAGCCTCGAATTCTGACCCGGGGACTTCGTCTCTCTCTTTCTCCTCTCAACAGACACCAAAGTCGTCTACCGTCGCTATGCCTCCCTTTTCTTCATCGCCGGCTGCGCATCCACCGATAACGAGTTGATCACCCTCGAGGTCGTGCACCGCTACGTCGAACAGATGGACAAGTACTACGGCAATGTCTGTGAACTGGACATCATCTTCAACTTCCAGAAAGCATACTTCATCCTGGACGAGCTGCTGCTAGCAGGCGAGATGCAGGAGAGTAGCAAGAAGAATGTTCTCCGGTGTATCAGTCAACAGGACAGCTTGGAAGACATGGAGGTACGTTGATGCTTGTGTTCTGGTTTTCATTCATGTCCCCTTTCCCACCGGGCGGGGAAGTGAGAAGGAGATGTAGAGCTGGAAGGTATCACAACTTTTCAGCTTCATCTCATGAAACCTGCTCTGCAGTCATGATCGTCTTCAATCCGTTCCCCGGTCCCGGTGCCCCTTTTCGCCGAGCCATGCCATGACTCGGGTTGCCCATCGCCGTGGCATCCTCTCTTCCTATCCATACCCCCTCGCAAAATCCCACACTCGCCCTCCTGTTTCCGCTACACTGGTCTCTCACTCCAGGTCGCCATCTCTTATGCATGCTAATCCCCCCCCTCAGGTCGAGGAAGATGTGGTTACGAAGATCATGTAGAAGCTTCTCAGGCAGTCAAGCGTTTCCGTGTTTCTCTTGTTTGGGATAATCATGATTCTCTGGGCCCCGGGGGCCAGCTCTGTTGGCGTTGGACGTACTATAGGCGTTGTGTTCTACTGTCGCGACCTGTTTCCTTGTCTTTTTTTTTTCATTTTTCCGACTAATTTAATACCACCCAATTGACACTTCTATGCTCGTCTTTCAGGAATCCAAGGATGTGCTCGGCCACCTTTCCCAAGAAGGGTTGATCTGAAAGACAGGAAAGTCGAGCAAGTCTGGTTTGGCCAGTCTGGGGCAATCCGTGGTTCAGCCGCAAGACCCGTGAGGAAAGTGCGTGATATCACTGGCCGCACTGCCTCCTTCACGTGACCGGGGCCTTCCTCCTCCGGGGAACAACGCGACACCCCGGCCAGGCGATCCCCCCCCCCCCCAAGTGCCGTATCATTGCGACACCTCTCAACCCCCATTCCTCCATCGCTTTCGTTATCTCATCTTTTCTCCACGACTATGCCAATTTGGCCTACAATTTCTGCCTATTAATCGCCAGATTTTCCACTTCACACCCTGCCAGCGTAGCTTGGGTACCACCTGCCAGCTCACTGCCCTTATCGCTGCTTGCGTGACGTCTCAGGAGACGAAGAACCAACCAACAAACGCATCGTGATTCCGAATAGTTGAGGAATTCACCTGATTTCTACTGTCGCAATCGGTGCTCTTCAGTCACATTGATACTTTATTCTCTCTCTTTCTATCCCATCACCTTTTATCGTGATTTCTTATCTACGTCATCCGCTCACCGCATATCTGGCCCCAGATGAAGGTACGACAGTGGTGCCTGCCGTGCCATGCAACACGCTCGCTACGGAATATTGGTCGCTAACAAGCTCTCTGTCTGGATAGTTCCTTCCTTTGCCCGAATTTGAGGACGTGACGAGCTCGCTGAATTTCGACACCGCCGACTGTCATATCGTTGGCGGCTGTGACCTATATACCACCAAGGCCGCCCGAGCGGATCGGAAGTTGTACAGGAATATTGAGCAATCCTTGGAGTCCCAATATGAATCCGTGCTTCGCCTGTCGGCTTCGTTGTCGCCGCCCAATGCATCCGACGCGGCCGCGTCGCTCAATCTGTCCCGCTCCAGTCCCTTTGGCCCCCTGAGCGACCACTCCAGCCGTCGAACCTTTGCATACTTGATCGCAACATTAAATGCCAGCCATCCCGACTACGACTTCTCACATGTGTTGCGCCCGTCTGATTTCCACCGCGAGCGCAATCTCAAGAGGGTCATGAACACGATCGACTCCACATTGTTCAACCTGCGACCGCGCGAAGCGATTGACCTGACACCCCCATCGCCTGTGACCGTCTCTGGATCATACAACGCGGGTGCATCTGCTACATGGGGACCAAAAATGTGGGGAGTCATTAATGAGCATATGTCGCTGAAAGAGTGCTCATTGTATTCCTACTCGCCGGAGGAGGATCCGTCGGACGCCGATGACGGAGCGATCTGGAGTCTCCACTATTTCTTCTTCAACCGGCTTCGCAAGCGGGTCTGCTATCTTTATCTCCGAGCTATTCCGATCCTGAGTCATACCCCCAGTGAGGGAGTGGCTACACCTACGACGAAGCGCACGTATGATGACGGATACTTGACCCCCGAACTCAGCTCTAGCAAGCGGGCTCGCTATTGGCTGGGCGAAGGCGTCGAGCTCGACAGTGAAAGTGACGAGGAGGATCTTTCGAAGTCGCATCATGCTGGAGACGAGTACGATCCATATGTGCTCAGTGACGAGGAGTTCCGATCCCGGTCCGGTAGTAAAGGGACCGTTCGGGCGATGAGCGAGGAAATCGCCGACTCGATGGAAGTCTGATGTGCTTTGCTGATATTGACCGCACTTCCGCAGCCTTTTGCGCTGCTTCTGATTCTTCAACCTTGAACATGTTCGGCTTGCCACTCGATTCTCTTTCACTATGTTCGGCCAAACGCGTTTTGTGTGTTTCGGCGTTTGTTTTGTTACTGCATTCAACCTGCATTTACATAGGCTAGGGGCGTTATAATTGGCGAAGGAACGGATCTGGCCCCTAATATCTTGCGAACGGCCGTTATGATGATGACAACTATCAGGCACTGCGTGGCCCGGCGCGGCGCGAAGGGCAGGCTCCACGCCGGCATTCCTATGGTCTTAATGTTCAATTCGTGTATCTAATATAAATTGACTTGCGTTGATGGGAATTCTTTTCTGGTTGTATTCTGTGGTGTGAGTATGAGTTACAAAGAGAGATCAAATCGCTCTTCACCAAGAACTTGTATAGCACAGTCGATGCTTGTACTGTAGAATGAACGGCAGCCCGACCCCAGGTGGTCCGTGCGCGGGCAAGCTGTCCGTTCCGAACAACATTCATCATATCCACCACCATTCTCCTCCTCCCCTCCCTTCAATACCTACACCCACACTCCTCTCCAAACCCAAGCTGTGCCCCATAATGGCCGACGACGAGGAGCGCATCAAAGCTGAAAAGCTGGCGGCCGCCAAGAAAAGGGTATGTTATGTGCTCCTTGCGAAGTCATCAACGAAGGCCGTTCTCCGCGGAGGCTGTGGTCCCCGTCCAACCGCGCCCGCAACTCATGTCTAGACCAACCCCCTAACAATCGGTCTACTCCAATTTGACTTTGTGGATATCATGTACATGTGCTGATTCTGTTGGGTCGGGAATAGGTCGCTCAGCTACAGAAGCAGAAGAAAAAAGCCAACAAGAAAGCTGCAGGCAGCTCCGATTCTTCGAAAGCGGCGGCACCCGAGACCCCTGCCGCCGTCGCCGCCGCCGCCGCCGCCGCTGCTGCTGAATCCTCGCCGGCTGATGATGATGTACCGACGCCGGTGATAGCATCGGATACCCCGGTGGTGGTGGCGGAGGGAGCAGAAGCGCAGTCTGTTGGTGATACCGCCGCCGGCGCCGGGGCCGCTGCTACACCTGTTGAGATCGGGGGAGCACCTCAACCTGGAGTAGAAGTAAAAGTAGAAGCAGTGGCTGCGGAGACGTTACCCGCGACCGAGGAATCAGAAGAGCCTACCACTACGACTGACCAACCGAAGGAACCCCTACCAGAGGAGGAGGAGGAGACAAAAGAGGCAGCAGCAGAACACGAAGTTGGAGGCGTAGCACCGCAACCCGAAGAACAACCGCCCGCCGCCGCAGAATACCCCCAAGCATCCCCCACCGCCACCGAACCCATGCCCGACGCGCCCATCACGATGTCGCCGGACAGCGAAGAGGCACCGGCCGCCGTGCCGGGGACGACCCGACTCGACGCCCCGCCGACTCGTCCCGCCGGCCACGGTCGCCAACCTTCGTTGTCGATTCAGTCGAAGATGCGGTCGTCGTCGTTCCGGAAGGGCTCGGTGTCGCAGGGGTCGCTGTCGCCGTCGCCGTCCGCGCCTGTGGGAGGAGGAGGCGGGGGGATGCTCAAGTCGCCTTCGTTGCCGCCGTTGAGTGCGGATGGCGAGGCGGTGCAGGAGGTGTACCGGAAGCAGTCGGCGCGGATTGAGGAGCTGGAGCGGGAGAATAAACGGTTGGAGAAGGAGCGGGAGGAGGCGACGGGCCGGTGGAAGAAGTCGGAGGATCAGCTGGAGGATCTGCGGGAAGCGAGCGTGGATGCTGAGGAGTTGAAGGAGAAGTTGGGGAGGGCGGAGGAGAAGGTTGCGGAGATTGAGGAGTTGGTGAGTTACCGTTCTTTTCTTTTTTGTCCTGGCAAAGGTTGTCGGACTGGGATTGGAGTCGATTGAGGCTAATTACGTGGGGGTTTGTGTCTACTTAGAAAGCGGAGATTGCTTCGCTACAGAGACAGAACTCGCACCTGCAAACGCGAACGCACCGCAACAACGCCAGTGTGTCCGCCCCGGGACAGTCCGAGTCGCCGCCAGCGGATCTGGTGAAACAACTTGAGTCGAAGGCCGCGACGATCGAGGCGATGGAGCTGGAGATCTCGAACCTGCGCGCGCAGCTCTCATCGCAGACGACCTCGAGCAGCGCGCATGAGGCCCAGATCGCGGCGCTGGAGGAGAAGCTCGCGACCGGTGAGACCGCGCTGGAGAGGTCTCAGCGCGAGCTGGCGGACACCAAGGCGGCCTTGACTCGTGCCTCGGAGAAGGCGGTCAAAGAGGGCGTCGACAAGACTTCCCGCGAGACTCTGATCAAGAGCCTCCAACGGGAGGTGGAAGAGCTGAAGCAGGAAAAGGCCGACGCGGAGAAGAAGATTGAGACCCTGGAGAAGAAGCTCGAAGCCATGGGCAACCTGCACCGCGAATGCGAATCCCGTCATCAAGCACGACTTCGCGAGAGCGAGAAGGTGGAGAAGGAGGCCGCGGTTCTGCGCAAGCGACTCGCGACCGTGGAGAACGAGAACCTCCGCCTGAAGGAGGAGCAGGAGACCCTTCGCAAGCGCGAGGCCGGCGGGGCCGATGACGATGCTCTCGACGAACTCGAGGACGAGGAACGCTCTCGACTGCAGCGGCGGATCCGTGACCTGGAAGGTGAGGTCTTCGATCTTCGCCGCGGTGTATGGCAGGAGAAGCGCGAGGAGCTTGCCGGCGGAGCCGATTATCACCCGTCCTTCAGCGGGGATCCCGACTCAGCGACGGCTGCGGCGGCGAATACCTTTGACGACGTCGACTTGATCGGCGGCTCCTCTGCCGACCACGCTCGCCGCCGCAGCATGGCCCAGAGCAAATCCCACGGGCAGCACTCATCCTTCTCGACTGTGCTTAGCAGTGGGATCGCCGCGTTCACGGGCGGAAACACTTTCTACGGGAACCGAGGCCGCGCCTCGTCGAACCAGCAGCCCGCTGGCACACGGGGTAGCTTGGAGCTTCTGTCGGAAGAGAACCTGGATGATGAATTCGACGAGGCAGAGTTTGCGCGTGCGCAGGCAGAAGAGGAGGCTCGCAAGCGGGTGGAATGGGTGCGCGAGATCAAGAGGAAGCTCAGGGACTGGCATGGTTGGCGGTTGGATTTGGTGGACAGTCGGGCTGGTGCCGAGGGCGCCGGTGTCGGGATGGGAGAGATTTTCGAGATTTAAAGAAGTCTACGTGCAGATACATGCAGACGATCTATTATACCATTGTGTTACTTTTGTTAATGGCTTGCCACATTGTCAGTAAGAGTGGGAGGGTAGCTACCAGAGCGAGCTGGAAGTAGTGAGTGTACGAGCACTCGGTACTTTGTAGCCAATCTAAAGTGCAGCGAGTCTACGGAGTAGATATTTGGGAGTAACCCTTTCCAGTAAGGTGATTTGAGGCGTGTTATCGATAAGCGCGGCGGCGGTGCTCCACGCAGGATTGCGGAGTTGCACCGCGCAATTCGGCCTACTTGGCCTTTCTTCCATCATCATCCCCGTTCATTGTTTCGTCCCTCCTTTCCCCCCCTCTTTCCGACTTTTCATAACTGCCATCTGCCCTGGAGAGCGAAGGGCTTGGTTTTCCACTGTCGCTCTCTTTTTGCTCTTGGTGTCTGCTGATTTAATGCCTTAACCGGGTAACCTTCGCCCTTGTTTGTCCATTGACGGGTGTTCTGTCTCCGACACGGCAACTTTTCGTGATGAATGGGTTCGCCGATCACGGCCTCAATGAGGATGCGTTCAGCGAGAAGTCTCAGCTGCAGGGCGGCTTGAAGACGTTTGATGCTTTTCGTGAGTTGTCACTGTCTGATTTCAGCTTGTCCCCATAAACCAAATACCCGTGGAGCTAGCTAGCTAGCTAGCTAGCCAGCCAGCAACCCCATGCGCAATCCCCATCTCCAAATCACCCGTCCACATCCACACACAAACACAACCACTAACTCAAACTTCCCCCCGCCTCACAGCCAAAACCAAAACCTCATACACGGCCCCCTCCCGCCGCGGCGGCCAATGGACGGTCCTAATCCTCCTCATCTGCACGGTCTTCTCGGTGTCGGAATTCCGAACCTGGCTCCAGGGCACGGAAACCCACCAATTCAGCGTGGAGAAGGGGGTCTCACACGACCTGCAGCTGAACCTGGATATCGTCGTGCGCATGCCCTGCGACACGCTGCACGTCAACATCCAAGACGCCTCGGGCGACCGCATCCTGGCCGGGGAGCTGCTGCAGCGCGAGCGCACCAGCTGGCAGCTATGGACGGACAAGCGCAACCGCGCGTCCGCGCACGAGTACCAGACGCTGAGCCAGGAGGAGCCCGACCGGCTGGCGGCGCAGGAGGCCGACGCGCACGTCCACCACGTACTGGGCGAGGTGCGCCGCAATTCCCGGAGAAAATTCCCCAAGGGCCCGCGGCTGCGGAAGGGGGACAGCGTCGACTCGTGTCGGATTTTCGGCAGTCTGGAGGGGAATAAAGTGCAGGGTGATTTCCACATCACGGCGCGCGGCCACGGGTATCATGATGCGCAGGGGGCGCATTTGGATCATAATGGTGCGTTTCCCTCCCTTTCGCTCACTCCCAGAAAAAAAAAACAACCGCAGTGGAATCCAGGACTAACAACGACCGCAAAAGTCTTCAACTTCACCCACATGATCACCGAACTCTCCTTCGGCCCGCACTACCCGACGCTCCTCAACCCGCTCGACAAGACCATCGCCGCCACCGAGCACCACTACTACAAGTACCAGTACTTCCTCTCCGTCGTCCCCACCATCTACTCCAAGGGCACCGCCGCCCTCCAGGAGATCTACACCGACCCGCAACACGCCCGCGCCAACAGGAACCTGGTCATCACCAACCAGTACGCCGCCACCAGCTCCGCCGACGTGCTGCCCGAAAGCCCCTACTTCATCCCCGGCATCTTCTTCAAGTACAACATCGAGCCCATCCTGCTGTTGGTCAGCGAGGAGCGCTCCAGCTTCCTGGCCCTGCTCATGCGCCTCGTCAACACCGTCTCCGGCGTCATGGTCACCGGCGGCTGGCTGTATCAGATGGCCGGCTGGGCGGGCCAGTTGCTCCGCCGGCGGCGGCGGGAGAAGTCCGAGGGGATGCTGAATGGGAGGCATTTGGCGGAGGAATGAATCTGGTTTCCTGTTCGCACTGTGTCGAAGGAGCGTTTGGTTTTATATGCTAGCTAAGAACCTGGAATGAAATTGTGGATACATATTGAAACCTGGCTGGAAGATGAAATTTATCCTGCCGCTAGTCTTCGAATGAATTGTCATATTCGTCATCCTTGATCGTTGTCAGAGGGTTGCGATCCGTTGGTCGAATCGGAATAACTTCTGCATTGACTCCAAGACAAAATGTAGCTCGCGGTCCAGTGTTGCTCTTGAAAATGCACACTATACATGACAGCCAGACCCAAACAGCAGCATTTACAAACTACATACATGTAAACGCAGATCACATGCTCGAAGTAGTATACAGAAGCACCAGTCACAAGGTCGTCGTATAATAGTACTGTAGTAGCAATTGTCTAAGTCATATCATCTCACTCCAGCCACACCTTCCGAACACTGCAGGAAGTACTCCGTAAAAAGCAAGACAAAACCACGGGTGTACAATTCCGGGTATCGATCCTCGAGATTCTCTTCGAGATAAAGATAAATAAATATACAGGTTGGGGAAGGGGCGTTTAGCTGTCCAATAAAAGTCTTCATCCCACCCAACAAACACCCAAGGGTCATCATAGACAATAAAAAAAAGAGTGACATATGAAAAGTGTAGGAGAAGGGAAAAATGCTGACATATGCATGCAAAGATTTTGACAACAAGAAAGAATAAGAAGGGCCCTCAAGGTCATGACGAATACCACACAAACGAGAAACAAACATGCTTGAAAGAGAACTTTGCAACAAATCTGAAAGGTCATGGTCGAAAAGCATGCACATGCTCGATTAAGGGTATAAGGTAAAAAGGCTCTTGGTCCGGTCGCTTCCTCTTCTCTTGGGCGGGCCTCGAACAAAGTTTCAAAATCTCAATCATGACGAACGGGGACACGCAGAACCTCTTATGTGTCGGGAGCCCGTTTATGCAACCTTGGTAATCAAACAATTATTATTACAGATATGCAAAGAAGCGAGGCAGAAAGGGGAAGGAAAAAGATCTAGATGAAATTGCCTCTTCACTTGGTCCTCTATGAACTGAGTTAGTCGCCATCCTGAGAGATGTTTGGTGTTTCACAATGAAAGATTCACTTACCAGGCTGGTCACAGCCGCCGCTGTTGCGAGATCAGGCTTACCACTGATACTTCTAGCCGCAACACGGGGTAAAGCGGACCCAGGAGTGCCTGTGCTAATACTTGTGTTCCGCTTGGCGGGCGTCGACGGTGGAATTCCGCTCACAGTCGAGTGACGCTTGCCAGCGGGCTTGACCGGGGAGGTGCCCGAGGCGTCTCGAGTGCGGGCGAGAGTGCCGCCTTTCAGCCCGGCCACAGGTGGCTCTGGAAGAGGACGCCCTAGGGACGGGTTGGAAGAGATCACCCTTTTGGCTGGAGAATTGTTCGTCAAAGTATATTGCCTCGGACGCGAAGCCAGCTTGATACCGGTGATGAACTCGTGACGAAGCGCGTCTTGTGGACTCATCCGACGAGCAGGATCCCACCGAAGGCAGCGGGATATAAAGTCAAGGAAGGCTTCATCGTCACACTTGAGGACCTGCCGGAGCTCCTTGGAGCTGGGACGACGCCTTCGGCCCTTCGAAGAAACCGTAAGCCTCGGTTTGCCCAACGAGTCAAAGAATAGCTTCTTGCGAGTACTCTTCTCGATCAAATGCTTCTCCGGAGGTCCGAACACCTCCATTATGCAGGCAAGCTGTTCCTGCTCATTTTCGCCTGGGAAGATAGGGTAGCCAGTAAACAGCTCGGCAAGAATGCACCCTACGCTCCACATGTCAATGGGCATACCGTATGACATGCCAAGAATGACTTCGGGAGAACGGTAGAATCGACTCTGGATATATGTATACACTTTCTCATTCTCGAAGCAACTGGAGCCGAAATCAATGACCCGAATGTCAGAGCTCAATGGGTGACACAGCAAGATGTTCTCCGGCTTCAGATCACAATGAATGACCTTCTTCGCCTGCAATAGCACCAAAGTGTTCAGCATTTGTTTAGTGAAGCGGCGGATGAGCTTGAGAGAGAAGCCCTTGAAATCGTGAGCTTTGATGAATTCGTACAAGTTCATTCCCAACAACTCAGTGGAGATGCAAAGATGGCCGCGAAAATAAAAGCTTTGGGTGAAGTTGACCACGTTATGCCGACGCTGAGGGTCCCACTCTTTCAGTTTCTGAAGAAGGTTGACTTCGATCAAGGCTTGCTGGTGGAATCGTTTCTTATTGCGGATTATCTTGACTGCAACAAGACCTCCCATTTTGTGGTCAATGCATCGCACTACCTGACCAAAGCTTCCTTTACCGAGAACATCGATCACTTCATAGCGGTATGCCAGATGATCCCCGATGACGATATTGTAGTCGCCGCGGTCGTCGTCGTAGCCAAAATTCGCTTGGACGGATAAATCACCAACGTGTTTCTTGGCATTCTGGGTGCCACAGAAATAGATATCTTTAAAGTCGATGATCTCTCCTCGCTCGAAGATATTCAAGTTTGCGATCCTTAGGGCCTGCGCTGGGCTCACACGCTCCTTGGGACTAGCTTTGCGACGCAGATCATCCAGATTCTTGGCGGCCGTCTCAAAGTCTTTGCGTTTACTGCCAAGTCTGCGCATCTCTTCGTCAGCAACACGAATATCGGGATCAACGTTGGGATCGCTGGTAGGCGGGGGAGCTGGAGTAGAAGCCACGCTGGACTTAGCCGAACTGATAATTCTGTGAACCGGCGAAAAGATTGAGCTTGCAGTCCGATGCTGAGGAACGGGAGGGTCACTGTCATTGGAGTCATTGGATGGGCTCGGTTCCAAGGCAAGACTCTGCTCACTGCTGAAGCTAGGCTTCCTCAGTGTCTGGCCAGAGGCTTTCGAGACAGATGCTTGCCGTCGGGACTTGAGATAGCTCGGTTTAAGCGTGGGGCTGGAAGTCTTGATACTGGTGAGGTTGTTCCAAGTCGAGGAAGTGGGAATCTTCGGGGGTGGCATTGGGTCATGTTTGACGGGATCGCTGCTGGCTTCAACTCCTGTCTGAGTCTTAGAGCTGCTTCGCTTCCGGGTCATTGTGATCTTGTTGCGAAGGGATGAGCTCGATATACTGTTGTTGTCCGGGTCGGAGGGCGTTGAGAGCTGACTGATCGTCTCGGCGTTCGATGAGAAAGCAGAAGACTGTGTTTGAGGTCGAGGACCAGTCATTTTGTACGACTGAATCGCTTTGGGCGAGTAGTCGTCACTGACTTTCTGCTTCAAGTTCGTATGTTCACTGTTGCTTTTCGGAAGGCTATATGCAACATAAGGCGACACCGTCCTTGCATTAGTCGGCGTGTTGTCGAACCCTGCAAGAGCACTGGAGCCGCTGACAGTTCGCAAGGCTGAGGCAGTTGATGAAGTACTCAGCGCGAAATGTGAAGTGCTGCTTCTCGCTTGTGTAACTGCCAAAAGATCATCATCCTCAACTGTCGAGAAAAAGTTGGCCTTCGAGGCAGTCAGGGGAGTACTCGGTGTCTTGGATGCGATCTGAGCGGATGGCGTGTGAACTGTCAGATCATCTTCACGATCTCTCAATGCCTCGATCTTGGTTGTCATTGGTGTGCCAAGGGGAAGCAGATTCAAAGGTGGTAGTTTGAGAGGTTGAAGATTCCTTTTCCCAAGAAGCGCGGAGGTTCTAGGCTTGGCTTCAGGAGTCTTCATCGCGCGTCCTTCTCTTGTCTTGGGGGGGCCCTCCTCCGTTGAAATAGTCGCGGTCAGGTTGTTATCCGGTTCTGACTCGAATTTGGGTTTGGAACCTGTTTCCATGTTTAAGCTTGGCTTGCGCGGAGTGACATAATTCGGCGGCTCAAAATCACCCTTAGGGGATTCATAGGCTTTCGGGATCGCAGGAACAGGTGGGACCTCCTCATCAGGCGGGTTCGGTTCGGAGCGGGTCTTGGGAGTAGGTAATCGGGATGTCGACGAGCTGTGAGATAGGCGGTTTTGCAATGAGCCAGCTGAATTTCTTACGGAATTGTAGGTTGTGGTTGATGAGAGCGACAGGCCAGAACTGTACGACTTGCGATTCGGGTCAGGGGTGGTTCGGTTTGAGGACGGAGTGACGCTCTTTCGAGGTATATGCGACGGCGATTGCGCGGACGAGCGAGGTCGGACAGGCATAGGCTCTGTTTGGGTCGGAGGGGTAAAGGGCGTAGGGTGCGCCGAAGGAGCTGTTGACATACGTTTAGCCCGACGCGCATCGGTAGGGCTTATGGTACGGGCTCCAAGACCATGTACATGTGGCGGCATGACCGAGACTCTTTTGCAGGACGAGGCTGGAGTATTGGGAGCGGCTGCCGCGGTTTTAACTGGTGTTCGAACTGCATTAGTCGATGATGACCGAGAATATTCTGCTGGGCCAGACGCTGTCAAGTATTTCTCGTGGGGCTCTCGCAACGGTGGCTGAAGCGACTTTGCCTTGATGCTCCGCGCGTTGCTGGAAAGCTTCGTACCTTCGGTTCGACTGAGATCGAATTGCTGCGTGCGGGGACGGAGATAGCTGGTCTGCTCTGTACGAGTGGTATCCGCGCTCGCTTTCCTCGCAGACAGGCTCTGTCGTCTCCCGGTCACGGTGGATGGCAATGAGACCGGGCCTATGGACTTTCTCGGGGCACGCGAAGCTGTACCATTCGGGCCCGCTTGTTGAGCGAGGCTTTGGCGACGATTACGACCTGTCGTAGTAGAAGTCGCTGATGGACGAGATGATACCGATTCGCTGGACGAATTAACCACGCTTTTCCGCCGGATAGAATTGCTCCTGGAGCGTGTACCCTCCCCATTGGTACTGCCATTCGTCCAACCGGGCTCATACCCCGAACCAGTGTTTCTAGGCACGGGGAAGTACTTCAGCTGCGATTCTCCCACAATACTATTCTGCATGTCATCGAAGTTGACCGAGGGAAGGAACTCGGTACTTTGGGAGGGCATCTGATTGTAGTCTGGCTTCGCTAAATTTCCGACACTGGTAGATCGTAGGCTAATGCGGGAATTGTTGCTCTGCGTTGAGTCATTTGTGGAATCGATCGAAGAGTTTCCGGAGTGGAAGAACGAGCCGGGTGTATTGCTGCATGTTATTCGAATTAGTATCAACATGCGTGATCGGAAATTCTAAAGCTGGAGGCCAAAGGTTTCACAATCGAAGTCAAAATAGCGGGAAGATGGGGGGAGAGGCAACGGAGAGCTTGAGGCGATTATACCTTGTTCGTGAAGGATCCTGCGGTCGTGGGCCTTGCGGCGCTTTCTGATCGCGAATAGACAACCTCCTCCGGTTCATTACACTTGTTCGGGTTGCGGCAATGGATTTGGACGAGTGGGACGAAGCTTCGGAAAGGAAAGAGGTCGAAGAGTGCTTTTGCAACCGTCTGCGCGTGGGTCCTTCTGTTCAAGCGAGTGACAATGGGTTAGCCGTGGTCAACAAAGAACCACCCGCAAGCGATAATGACGATTCCGATCTTGATCAAGCATTTTTACCTTCTGGACATGAGCCTTCATTTCTAGAAGGGCTCGAAGACCTCGATTGGACTTTGCGCAAGTGCCCCTTTCCTGGAGTGTCTTGAAAAGATGGATTTTCCGGCATCATCCTCGAACTGCGACCGGGAGAGCTCCGAACGACAGGTAGGTAGATCAACCGGAGGCGAGAGGTTGGGGAAACAAATTAGCGGGGGGATGCAAGGGCAAACCCAATCGCAATGGCATTCAGGAGTAGAAGGCGAATGTTATTTAATTTTTTTTCGGTGTCCAAACCAAGCAGAACCCTGATCAACACCGTCGCGCGACCCATCAACGGTTGCTACCGGTCCATTGCGGGGGTCAAGAACAGCGGTGTCTGCTGCGGGCTGGGCGACGAAGGAATCTGGTAATCGATTAGATCGAGTCGAAACCACAGATGAAAGCTCTGTCTGCGAAAGCCGTTCTGGGGGCCCCTTTTCGGGCAAAAATCCCAAAGAAAGGATGGGTGATGTTCTGCAGAGAAGAAACTCTGCCTGGGGCAGCAGTAGGTTGTTCTTTGCCAGACTTGGCGTCGAAGAAAGTTACGTACGGGCTTGTGTATACCTAAGCAACCACTCCGAATGAGAAAGAGCAAACACGGAGTGTGCCCGACACGGGTGAAAATAGGAAGGTGGTTAGACAAAAAAAAGGAATGGGTGATGTGATAGAAGAAGAGAAAAAGAGTACAGGTCAACAATGAGAATCCCCTATACTTCTATGCCTGAGACAGTAAGTGGGGGGGGGAGGGATGGAAGTGTGTTAGGAGAAAAAAGAGACCGAGAGAGGAAGGATTGATATGGATGGAACTGGAAAAATAAAGAGGTGGTAAACAATTTCGAGCCCGAGACCCATTGAGAGACCTCTTTAGTTGTGCCCCCCCTGCTCCTTTTTGCCTGCTTCTATGGCTGCAAACAGCGCAAACACCCACTTAGTTACCATTTTGGCGGGATCGCCCCGATGGTACTCCGTAATCTACTCACTGCAGTATCCTACCGTCATCCGTCAATTCACTCCATCCTACTCTACTGGTCTACGTAATGGTCGTATTGCGCAATACCACCCGTGACTGACTGTCACTGACCCTATCCATACAATACAAGCTCCCGCCGATAAGCTCGGTGACCCCAAAATCTGGGCATCCAGCCATGTTTGTGTGCATGTGCTTCTGCTGCTGCTGCTGCTAACTTAACTGCTGCTGCGACTTCACTTGTGACCTCACCCTTTCCTTTCTCCACACACACCACCCCCCCTTGGAGATGCTCCTTCTACTTTATTTGACTTGACCACAACAGAAGCGTCCTTGTTGATGGATCGTCATGGATGATACTATCGCAGAACCCATCGTCAATCGCGATGAGCCTATACCTGTTATATTTTCCGACAAGCAGAAACATGATACCAAGCATCCGCGAGCTCGGGGGCACAAGCGATCAGTCTCGGGGGTTGGGCGGTCTCTGCAGGACAGGCTATTCTCCAAGTATGTTCTTTGATCCATTCGCAATGCTCTCAGATTTCCCTGACCCATCTCTTCAAGAATTCTGGAGCAGGTAGTGCCTACAGAAGATGCCGATAAGGAATCATTGTCAGGCGGCGACAAGTCTCTCGCCGCAGACCCAAAGCGGCCAGCCTTCAGCCTACCTCTCATGGCAAACAACTTTCGCAGGTTCAATGCAAGGTACAATACTAAATCTCCCAGTTTTAATTTACAGAAGATGCTAAGGATCAATGCAGAATTGGAATTGTCTTTACGTTTCAAATCCAGGTTGAGCGTCTGTTCAGCTGGAAAAAAGCCTCCCACACGCTTTCGTTCCTCTTCATCTATTCGTTCATCTGTCTGAACCCACACCTCTTTGTACTGATTCCGATCTCTATTCTTCTATTCTTCATCATGGTGCCTGCATTCCTTGCGCGACACCCCCCCCCTCCTTCAACGTCGACCTCAAGTATCACGCCTTACTACTCTTACGATGGCCCGGCACTGGCACCTGCGAAAACCATCAAGCCAGCCTCAGAGACCTCGAAAGACTTCTTTGTGAATATGCGGGACTTGCAGAATTGCATGGCGGACTTCTCCGACGCCCACGACGCCATGGTCTCCGCCTTTGCACCTGTGACCAATTTCTCCGACGAGAAGCTTTCGTCAGCGGTTTTCTTACTGTGTCTGCTCGTTGCCGCTCTTTTGATCTTGACTGCTCATCTTGTTCCTTGGCGCTTGGTCTTCCTGGCTGGCGGTAATTTGGCTATATTCTCCCTGCACCCTCGTTTTCACCATTTTGTCCAGGCTATCACAGCGGACCTCTCACAGCAACCTGCGGGAACGGAATCCATGGCCGAAAAGCAACTCAGGAGCGCGGCAAACGCTGCTGGGGTTCCACTACCCGCTTCCTCTAGTGCCATGTCCTTGATGAGATCATTGGCTAATATCTCTCTGGATTCTGACACTGAAGAACGCGAGGTCGAAATCTTTGAGATTCAGTATCGCTCCCTGGCACCATATGGCGAATCTCAGTGGGACCATTTCCTGTTCAGTCCGATGCCATACGACCCACTCTCGCCACTTCGCATCGCAGGCGACCGTCCCAAAGGGTGCCGGTTTTTCGAGGACGTCCAGCCTCCAAGCGGTTGGGCATGGAAGAGCAAAAAGTGGGAGCTGGATCTAGACTGTCGCGAGTGGGTGGTGGAGCGCATGATCACGGGGGTTGGCTTCGAGGTACCCGGGGGCGCCTCTGAAGACCAAACAGCCGGTGGAGAGATCGGGGGCTGGGTCTGGGATCTGCCCCCTGCTTTTGTTGCGGATGACAATTCGGCCAGTGATAAAAAAGCGTCTGCGAAGAAGGGCAAGGAACGTGCCTCGCAAGATTATGAAGAAAGAGGTAATACCGGAGGAATGGGTGAGTGGAGAAGGCGGCGCTGGGTTCGCGTGGTACACAGAACTAGTATGCCGGCTGGTCAGCAACAGACGACAAATGATGAGACGTACTGATGATGAGGTTTGCACATGAAGTTTACAGCTCCGGCGAAGGTGAGATTCTCAATCTCCTTTAAAAACTCGGATCAACATCAATGCAAATTTCGCAATGACCCTTATATCGCGTGACTCTATAATTTACTGTTTCGGTTTCAGAACAACAATGCTCTTGGGACTCATTCCACTTACAGGAGACAAGAAACCAAGCAATGTATCTTATACGCTTGGTGATCAGCCCTCGGCCAAGGCATGCGAGGAATCGCGCGAGTAAGGCTATCTGTGCGAATAGAACTGTTCCTACGAGCAAAAGATCACGTAAGAAGTTGCGGCCGTGGCAGTCCTCACAGCAGTAGCAGTCCTAGCAGTCCTCGCAGTCGTGGCAGCTTTTGCAAAGAAACCGTGATAGTCCTCACGGGTGTGGTAGTTTTTGCGACTGTAATAGCTGTGGCGAGCAAGGCCGTTCACGCGTATAAGGTGGTTTATGCTAGCGAGGAATCATATAAGAAATCGCAGCTCTAGTGGTTGTGGCAAGCCAGGTGATTCATGCAAGTGAGGACTTATGCGAGGGATTGCACAAGTAAAGCTGTTTATATAAGTAGGGCTGTTTAAGCAGATGAGGAGCCACGCAAAGATTTCTAAAGCAAGGTTTTTTTGTAAGCAAGGCTATTAATGCGAGCAAGGCCTAACAGTATCAACAATAGCTGATAACAGCAGAAACAAATATAGATTATATGATCTGTATTGGGCAGGCTATTCAAGCAGCTAATCAGTATGTTTAAACAGCTGATCACTTGTCCCCGGATGGCCAGTTTCTTGTAGGACGCAGCGCATACGTGCTTTGCAACAATGACAATACCCTGTCTGGAGGACTACTTATATAAGAGCCTGACCTGCAGGCAGCGCCTTTGGCGGGCCTAGGAGGGCCTATACTTATATCTTCCTAAGCAATTTTTGAGTAGCCGAAGGTCTATCTTACAGCTTCGACAGCCTATTATCACAGCTGGACAAGAGTGTTTATACAGCTATTCCTGGGTCTGTTTATACGGTTGTTTAAGTGCCTTTATGAATATGATGAGAGCGTTGCACTGCTCGGCCAAAAGAATATTAAGGTGCTGATCTAGCCGAGGACTATTTCTTAGGCCGAAGATCTGGACTTTGTATATATTATAGTATACAAAAATTCTGTCCTGAGGCTTCGTTAAGATTTAAGTAGTACAAGAATTTCTTTTTTAGACTTCTGTAAAGCCTAAGGCTAACTTTCCAAGTCTATATATAGTGTCCTATAACAGGCAAAGTGCCCAGCCCTAAATCTATAGTTAAATCAAAGTAGTAATCTTGTTTTTTCTATAATTTGAATGTCTTGTTGGGGGGCGGCCAGGGCTAATAAATAAAGACTTATAGTCTAGTAAAAATATTATACTACTTAGTTTAAGAGATATCAAAGTACTAATCTAGCTAATTAATTGCTTTAATTTAAAGAATTCTCAATCCTATAAAATAGCCTGCATAGAGCAGTGCGAAGTAGAAATAGAGCTGATTAAGGCTGGGTTAACTCAATGGTTTGGGAACTAGTAAGATGGATTGTGGTTTATGTTGCTTATATCCAACTAAAAATGCTTTTAGGACTTCTTCTTCTATACTTAAATTCTGGCAAAAGTCTATTGAGTCAGGGATCCAGATTTAGTCATCGAGAATCTCAGAGGTAATGAGCCTCTAGTTCTTATTTTGATACTAACATTTTCTATTACAGTATATCTCTTTGAAAAGATTTAAGAATGTAGAGATGAACGGTATTATCATGGTCTTGACTTAAGGTCTGATCTTAAGAAAAAAGGATGATAAGCAATATTGGGAGTTGAGTTTAAATCTAATCTCAATAGTCGCTACCAGGATTATATCAAAGTCTTTGTTGTAGTGGAGGGAGTGTTCTCCCCCCCCTCCAAGTTACACCCCGCTCACCATCCTTATGCTAGTCTGTTTTCAGATATAATGCCTGAGGCATAAACAAAAGGCGGTGCGGAGTCCGCCGCCTTAGCTTAGCCTAAGGGCGGGTGAGGTGAGAGATGGCTTACTACTTCCTCCAAGTGTCTTGTGTTACCCAAACCCAGTCACTAGGTGGTCAATTCTGATGCTGATGGACATGAATGATGGAGATGCTAGTTCCTGTCATTGGCTCTGGGTAAGCTCCTCTGAGATCTTATCTGACTTGTATGTCACGAATGTCCGTTATTGACATATTCCGCCACAGGACTCTCCCCATGCGCGACCGTCGCTCTGTGCTTTGGAGTACCTCTCCCTTGCACCAGCGATAGTTATTTTGATCATTGCACTGAGCCACTTACTCTCACATGGAGTTGCGCTAAGATGCCCAAAATGGATGAATTCCTTCGTTCAGGAGCAGCCAGCATCGATAGAGCTGCCCATAGAACGGCCACCGCAGCGGGTCGGCTGGGTTGTAGCCCTGTTCGCCATCTCGATGATTGGATTTCTAGCTGAACTGACCAGCGTTATCCTTGGCGGGCCTTTGATAAGCACCGTCTTACCTGTATCCTGGGTACGTGGAAAAAGCACTGGTTCGCGATGAAACTCCGCCCGCTGACAAGGGACCAGGCTGTGGCTGCTGCCATGGTTGCAGTGCTGCGCCCGAGATCGTGCCCTACATCCCTGCTTTCCTTTTTTCTGAGTGCACTGGTGGTCGAGTCCGCATATCTCATCAATGATGATGTGTATAATCTCTCTAGACTTTTCACCCGCCATGAGGCTGCTGCTGCTGCTTTGGCCGGCTGTACGGTCATCCTTGCAATGCCCTTTCGCAGCCATAGTCTCCCGCAGGATGACATCAGCGCCGTTGGTCAAGTGCCATCCAGGGACTTGCGCAGTCCAGAGGACAACTTGCGACTTTGGCAGTTTCTGAGCGTGTCTTGGATGGCTCCACTGATTTCTGTAGGCAAGAACAAACAACTGCAGGAGGAAGATGTGTGGTTTCTGGGATACGAGTTTCAGCATCGCAGACTGCACGAGAAGTTCCGGCAATTGAAAGGATCCGTGCTGGGAAGGCTACTTCAAGCGAATGGAATTGACGTGCTAATAATAACGACAATCTCCATCGTGCAGATGCTTTGTGGTTGGTAACCTGTCAATGAGGGGCTGCGCGTCGCTGATTAAATATGCAGATTTCTCGACCCCTGTCTTGCTCCAGCAATTGTTGCAGGCGATGAAGGATCGAGGCACGTCCAATCGGCCGGCCTTGACCTATGCATTACTGAGTCTGGTGCTTCGCCTGGTGCTAGCGCAGGCCCAGGTTCTCAATCTGTGGTACGGGAGACGTGCCTACGAACGGAGTAGAGGCGAGATGATCATGATGGTTTATGAGAAGGCACTTTCGAGAAAGAACGTCTTCGATCAGGAGATAAGCGAGAAGGAAGATGGAGCCGGGCCCTCCGAAGAAACGGATGATGAGACAGATTCGGATCCCCAATCAAAGAGGTGGTGGTGGCCCTTCTCGCGCTCCAAGAGGGTAACGCGCAAGGAGATGATTAAGAAAACAGCGTCCATGGGCAAAATCTTCAATCTATTACGTGGAGACGTCTACGAAGTCGCGCAGAGATTCTGGGAAATTGACTCCCTGATTGACAAACCGCTGGGGCTTATCATTGCGACCGTTCTCGTCTGGAAGCTCCTCGGGCTGTCATGCTTCTTGGGAGTTATAGCCATTTTGGTTGCCCAAACGCTTAACGCGTTCATCACTCGTAAACTTCTTCGCTGGGAACGTGTACGTCGCCTAGCAACAGACACCCGGCTTCAGATATCTTCTCAATTTGTTGAGGCTCTGCGACATTTGCGTTGGTACGGTTGGCAGAACCATTGGCTCCGTCAGGTAATGGACGCCAGACAGTCTGAGTTGAACCTGCGAATTGTCACTAGTCTTTGGAATGTGCTGATTCGCTTCATCAACACCCTTGCTAGTGGGCTGTTCCCCGTGGTCGCATTATACGCTTACACCTTCTTGGCTGGAAACCCGCTGCGCATCGATATCATTTTTCCTGCTCTTCAGCTGTTTACAATGCTGGAAACCCGACTGAGGGATATCCCGAGTCTCATCACTGTGCTCATAAACGCCTCGATTGCTATGGAGAGAATCGAGGACTTCATGGCAGAGCCTGATAAAGAGAGAACGCCACTTGCTGCTGACTGCGCCTCTCTCATCAAACTGGATTCATGTACTTTTGCCTGGCCCGGGAAGTTATCACCTGTGCTTCCCAATGTCAACCTGGACGTGCCTCAAGGTCTGACCGTTGTCCACGGCAAGGTGGGATCTGGCAAGACAGCTTTGCTCCAAGCCTTACTGGGCGAGATGGATAGACTGGAAGGAATCTCCCATCTCCCAAATGAGATGGTCGGGTTCTGTGCTCAGACCCCATGGCTGCAGAGCATGAGTATCAGGGACAACATTCTGTTCTCTTCGCCGTTTGATGAGCAGCGTTACAAGCTGGTGCTAGATGCCTGTGCACTTATACCGGATCTTTCCAACTTCAAGCATGGTGACCTGTCTTTTGTGGGCGAGAATGGAATAGGTCTCTCTGGGGGTCAGAAGGCACGCGTGGCTCTGGCACGGGCAATGTATAGCTCGGCTAGGATACTGCTACTTGACGACCCTCTTTCAGCCTTAGACCATAATACAGCAGAGACGGTTGTTCATAAATGTTTCTTGGGCCCGCTAATGCGCAACCGGACTGTGGTTCTTGTCACCCACAGAACCCACCTAGTCGGTGAAATTGCTGACCAGATTGTTCGCATCGAAAATGGGAAGGCCACAGTAGAAATTAACCAGAATGTGTCGTCTCATGGCAGCGATGACCAGGAAAGCGCTCCGTCAAAAAGCACAGAAACTGTCAACGAGGGTGAAGTTGCTCTTGAAGATGCCTCTGCTGCAATTCCCACGAAATTCATAGAAGAAGAACATAGAGCAGAATGGGGAGTGCAGGCACGAGTATATTGGAAGTACATCCAAGCTGGCAAATACCGCTGGTGGCTCGCCCTCTTTGCGGTATTGACAATCTATCGCCTGTCTTCCGTTGGCCAGTCATGGTTCCTCAAGGAGTGGGGAGAGGCATACAAGCAGATACTCTTGTTCTTCGGACAATCGAACCTCAACCGTATGTCTTCCAGTGCGGAACTAACTACCGCCTCGACGATGGCAAACAACATCCACTGGGCGCCGCGGGACCCATTTGATGGCTTTCCCGCGCCGGAAGAGAATGTGAAACCCTGGTTAGTAGCATTTTTGCTCATTACCAGCTTTCAGTCCCTGATGCTTCTGCTCGCACAGCTTCTGATGCTGGTGATCGTCTATTGCGCCGGCCGAACGCTGTTCGAGGAGGTGATGGTACGAGTGAGCAACGCCACGTTCCGATTCTTCGATGTCACGCCCTTGGGTCGCCTGATGAATCGACTAACTTCTGACATTGGAGTGGTCGACGGGAACATCAGTGAACAGTTCCAAATGATCGCATTCCAAGCCATCACCTGGGTGTCCTCGATCGCCGTGATCGCGACTGTGACTCCAACCTTCCTCGGATTCTCGCTCCTGCTCACCGCGGCCTTTGTTCTCATCTTCCGACGTTTCCTCCCCACCTCACAGAGCTTGCGGCGTCTGGAGATGGTATCGCTGAGTCCATTAATCTCCAACTTCGGTGAACTGCTTCATGGCCTAACCACCGTGCGCGCCTTCCACGCCGAAAGCCGCTTCCAGGACCGCGTCATCGCCGTCGTCGACAAGTTCCAGGGCATGGACCACTTCTACTGGTCACTGCAAAGCTGGCTCATGTACCGGTTCGAGAGCCTTTCCGCGGTATCGACCTTCTGCCTGACCGTACTCGCTCTCTACACCAGCGTTAGCCCCGGCCTAGCAGCCTTCGTCCTGATCGCGGCCAACAACTTCGTCACCTCCACCCATGCCCTGTGCAAGCAATACGGCCAGCTCCAAATGGACTTTGTATCGGTCGAGCGAGTGGACGAACTGCTGCACGTGGAGCAAGAACCCCTCGGCACGATCGATCCTCCGGCCTCGTGGCCCAAATTCGGCCAGGACATCGTCTTCGAGGACGTGACGATCCGCTACGCGCCGCACCTCGATCCCTCGCTCCGCAACATCTCCCTGCGCATCCCCGGCGGCTCCACAACAGCCATCATTGGGCGCACCGGCAGTGGCAAGTCCACGCTGGCCGTCGCCATGCTCAGCGTCGTGCGGCCCGAATCCGGGCGCATTCTCGTCGACGGCCTGGACATCGCGCAGGTCGCAACGCAAGCGCTGCGGTCCCGCGTCACGTTCGTCGCGCAGGACCCTGTCCTCTTCCCCGGGAGCATTCGGCTCAACCTCGATCCGACGGGAGAGTACTCCGACGCCGAATGCGCCGAGGTGCTCAAGCGCGTCTGCAGCCGCCACGGCTGGAGTCTCGAGACGCCCGTGGAAGCCGGAGGCCGCAATCTGAGCCAGGGCGAGCGGCAGCTGATTGGACTCACGCGAGCGGTGCTGCGGCGCAGCCCCATCGTCATCCTGGATGAAGCGACGGCGTCGATCGACCATGAAAGCTCGTTGGAGATCCAGCAGATCCTGCGCGAGGAGATGAGGGAGTCGACGGTGGTGACTATCGCGCATCGGCTGGAGGCGATCAAGGATGCGGAGTATTATATTGTATTGTATAAAGGAGGGGTGTCGGAGCAGGGGTATGTTCGAGATATGTGAGATGGAATCTTGGTGAGGGGATCTAGTCCGCCTTTTCTGCCACGAAACATTTTCCATAGCTAACCGTTAGAAAAGAAGAAGGGGTTGAAGTAGCTATCAAAGGGCTGTATGTGGCAAATTTAGGCTCAAGTGAGAGGAACAGTGGGCAGGTGAGCGCGTAGCCCCGATACGGAGGCTGATCAAAATGGTGAATAAAAGGAATCTGGACCTCTACACAGGTCTTACCAAGGCCCAAGCGGCGCTAGTCTTCCAGATACATAGCAAGCGTATGGGCTTAGCCTACTTTCTCTAGGAAATCGAGGCATACGATACGAGGGAGTATTTATACGAAAACTACACGCAGATACTCAAGCGTACTCTGTTAAAGTATCCGCAGTTCCGGAAGAGCCGTCAGGCCATATAAGCTGGTATCTTTACTGTAGATGAAAATACCTCAGCTGCCCAACTATAATATTCCAATATCTCACCCGCAGGTGATCTGCTATATTATTGATTCTATAATATGGTTGAACAGGCTTGTTCAGCTGATGCTACTATGTGAGTAAGAATAGAACGACTATAAGTAAGAATATCGACTTGAGAGGTATAGGCATCACTGTAGAAGATAAGGAATAATCATACTTGTAGTAATCTAAACGGCTAGTCTGCTTATCCCAAGGAGAACCACATGAATAAACAACTTAAGAAGACGAATTAAGTCGGCTAGGGCCTTCGCTGTCGGCTTTTAATATTTTTTGTATGTGTAGCCACCAGCTATACAATCGAGAATCAGTCGGTTTGATAGGTTTATGGTTTTCTTCATGATACCTTTTTTACATAGAGATTAGGTAATTCAGGCCGGTTCCTACTTCGACACAGCACCGATATCGCTAGCTGTGTAATAGCGGGCTTAACTAGGTCAGTAGCACTTAGACTAAATTTCAATCGAACAAAAGGAACTCTCTGAGTCTAGAGTAAGCTGCATTACGGAAGAGACTTTCTCTGGAGACCATAATACGCGAAGTACTAAACTATAACCAACCGATGGGGATATGACTAAGTAAGCTGAGGGACAGGGCACCGGGCTGCTTCGCTCGGTTACGGAGATATCTGGGACGATACTCTGAAGACGGTGCTTGGATAGAAGCTTAACGAGGCATAAAATGAAATGTGTAGAAATATGCCGCTCTTCAAAGTCTCGCTAAAGCAATATACCGAGAAGGCCATGCGAGTAAGAAGAGTAGTCATGATAACACTTCCCACCACGTCTCTAACCGCGAGTCATCTATAGGCAAGGTGGCCCGCACTTGTACGTCACAAAGCATTCATCAGCATTAGCAGCTAGCAAGGATCAACAGAAGAATCAATTAGCTGACTGACTGCAGAAATTACCGGAATGTACAACACTAAAAACCTTGAACTTGTCCGTAAACCACCCAATATCCTTCCCCAGCGTGCAATAGCTATCTAAACGTGCAGCACTATGAACGTCGCGGTTGGCCGTAAAACCACCAAATATCCCTGCCCAACTGCTCGATGACATTGGTGTTCTCGCTAATAGGGAACTCGCGAAGAGAGGTGGGATGTGCGCGTCCGAGAGAGCAGATACCCCTGTCCATGGGGTTAGTCACAATGGTGAGATAGGTTTAGAAAACAGGAACCTTCCATACACTTTGTAGACTCCGTCTGTCGAAGATAACCTTGTCTGGGTCACCGTCGACATACGCCTGGCCCCGTTGCCTCAGCTCCCTAGCCCAAGCCAGTCTCGAGTATTAGCCAAATCCAACACCCCCCCCCCGGAACGTGAGGAGCAACTCTCAGGTCCGGCAAATTGGGCATCGCATTGTGAATCTACTCACCTGACAATCCGCAGAACTTCACCCTTGACATGATCCACTTCCCACAGCTGAAGCTGCCCTTCAAAAAAATTCAGTGGATACCCGGGCAGCCGGGTCATAGCCACGATGTCCAGTCTACCTCCGGGATATTCGAACTCCGGGCCTTGCACCACCTCGCCGCTGCTCCTACTACGATCGAGAATGTGTGGAAGACCCTTCACATCTTCCGCCGCGTCGAGTGCTTGGAATTCGCCTTCGATTACGGTGCTTCTGAGCCGGTTGAAGATGCCCCGGTGTGGGTCCACAGTGGCAAGGATAGGGTGTTGTCTGGATATCCATGGTGTCTCTCGCGTTAGTTCGAAGATGTTATGAAATTGTCTCTCACAAGAAATAAGGGGGTTTGTGGAAGCCGCACTCAATAAAAAATTTGACGACGACCTCGAAGCCGTCACTGATCCTGGTCGCCCAAAACACTGCGCGTCGCAATCTATGATAGATATTCATACTTTCCCCAACGAGACGGGTCAGACGGTACTCGTTGGTGCCGACAACATAGGACTTCCCCTCCAGGTGTCGCAGTGTCTCTTCTTCCAGTTCGGGAAAGCCCCCGGGCTCATGAGAAGCCGCTCCACTCATGGGTGCAGATCAAGGTTCTTCGTAGTGAGAAGTTTGAGGCTATGAAGTGAAGAATGAAAGAGAGAAGCGAAGGTGATGCTAAGTGAGAAGGTTGGGAAGTAAGATATGTTAGTCGGATAAGGGAGAAAGAGATCTCTGCGGGGAAAAGGTAGTAGGTGATTTCAGGTGATGGAATTATGACGAGTAAGTCAGGCTTAGAGCTCATGCTGTTGATAGCCCGAATATAGCTGGGTTAGTAGCGCCCCGTGTTGATTCAATTCTCTGCAATAGAGTGTTAGTTCAGAGGTGAATGACATTGCATCCATGGTTGTCAAGAGGGTTGTGCCATTTGATAGCTGACGTCGATGAATCAAAGCTGTGATAACACAAAGGTGTATGAAAGGGAGATCTTGTAGAGCGCAGCACTGCCATAGGGTAGCACTGACAGCACGATCAAGTTCAAATCAATTCCGTTCAAGTACTATTAAACCTAAGAAGCCCGCCTAGTGCAGCTATGTATGAAGGTGGAGTGCGAAGGTGCTCATTCGAAGCCAAGAACCTATCGATATGCCTTACTCCCAACATAGACGTACAGTGAGTGCGCATATGTTTGTTGGTTGCCCAACTTAAATACATCAACTGATCATTCATACAGGTGTCAGTGATGCCACAAAGCAAGTAGTAAGTTAAAGCCGGTCTTGAACTGACTTTCTATAGCACAACCTCTGTCGTCACCCTCAGAGCATACAGCGACCTAAATTCATTTATCTAGGGTTTAAACTATTGCAATGAAGTGTCTTCATGTACATTAGCTAGATAATGCGCGTCTAGAAGCAAGAGTCGCAGAAAGAAGATTATGACTACAGGTACACCCTGATGACCAGACTCCACCAACCAGACATCTCTTTTAAAATCGGGCATGTTGCAAATCTGCCCGAGACAAATTAGTAATGCTGTAGGGCTCTACTTGAGCTACTGGTCAGTTAGGTATTTCAATCAGTCTAGTCTGCACCAGGAAAGTTTGCAGAGTAGCATAGCTGGACTTTACTTGAATTGCTACACCGCGGCCCTTACTGTGGATTAACACCAAACATCTGATTCTCTAGCGCCTTATGTACTACCTAGTACTAATAGAGAACTCAGGACGGTCAGAGCCCACCAACAGCTATCTCTACTTATAGCTGCTTTTATTTATATACTATATTTTTCTTGCTAGTTCATTTGAAAGCCATCCTAGAGATAGCATAACGGTTCGGTGGCTCAGTTTTACGTGACCACTAGTGTCTTCGATGTGTTTGGAGAAAAACACCTTTTAGAGCCCCCAGTCTCGCATGGTGCGATGGGTTCGCGATATATAGTCCCAGAGTCTGCATCTATGCTCGGTTTGTTGAGCAGCGGGGATCGTGGTACGCTTTAGTATCATAATGCAGACATGCCTACCAGAGCATTTGACATGTAGGTCATCAAGCAAGCCCATACCCGATGAGGTCCACTGCATATGACTTTAAGTAGTATCTCATCAAGCTAATCATTCTCAAGTCTAAGCTGATAGAACCACATATGACCAAAGCATTTGAACAGCACACCCGAGTGGGTAAGATGACAGTATGTGATAGAGCTGACTAGTCTTCATCATAGGAGGATACGTAGTCTGATTGTGGTCAAGAGGTTTGTGATATCAAGTCGTGTTATACTGTGCGGGTAATATATGCTGCGTTGCATTGTGTTGATGCTTCTGTTAGCATACAACTACATTGCCTACATTGATCCAATTCTGTTTGCAATTTTCCTCGAATTGAATAACTATTATGCCTGTCAAAAACCCTTATGCCGCCGTCCCAAGCCTTCTCGTCCGGCCAGGACTGAAGACTCGTCGATCACGAGCACCAGATAAGATCCTGTCAGAGGATCAGATAATGGAGTGGAAGGATCTTGCCATGCTTATACGAGCAGATTCTACTGCCGCCTTTGGGTCTCCGCCCCCTGTCGATTTCACCGCGGCAGTAGTGGAAGAGAAGTATGTAGTTGCTACGAAAGCCGGTGTTGCTGCCCGGGTCAATGCCCAGATATTAGACCCTTTATGCCGACTATTCGAAGCCAACAAGTGCACACTCCGATTCGCTGATCGCGCAACGGGGCAAGACGCAATCAAGGGATTTGAGCCCGACTGCACATTACAGATCACGGCCGAGGATGGTAAATGCAAGGCACCAGGGGAGTTCAAAACCCCCTGGTCTACGGACCTTTTTATTCCCGATCCGGATGACAAGCGCAGATTTCTTGGTAAGTCAAAAGGTACCAGGTCTTTAGGGAAACAGTGAATAATAAGATAAAACTCTTAGCCCAAATTGTGTGCTATATGAACGCGTACAAATGCCGCTACGGTTTTTTCACCACCTGCAATGCCGTGATTCTGCTGAAGCGGGTAGCAAGTTCAGGTTCATGGTTTCCGAGCCATTCCAAGCCACCGAGCCGTCGTCGGGGGGAAGCCATGACCCTCAAATCAGTGCCACAGAGGCGTTGTGGTGGGTAGCAATGCAGGCCAAGTCTGACGGGAAATGGAAATGGCGTCCAGCTGACCCCGTTGCTCTGGTAAGCACAAATTGCCGTAAGCCCTTGGAAATGCTACACTATATGAGGGCTAAGAGGTAGGTACAGGTCAACGGTAGTTTTACTCTATGGCACAACCTCAGGAATAGCGGTAAATAAAAGCCTATCATGTGGAAGACGCTCATGATCTCGTCGCAACTGTTTTTATCTAGTACCAAATGATATCTCCTACTTCTGGGCCTTTGTAGTCGCGCATGTAGAGTGTCTCAAAACTGAATGCCCATTATGCCGCAATAAGATAAGTGTAAGTATGGAAGAGATTAAGAAGCAGAGACTGGAAGAGTGACAAGCTGGTTTTTGCTTCTTGAGTGAGATAGCCAGCGGGCGGTCATCTATCTTTCTTGAACATTGTTGATAAACAAAAATCTCAAGCAACATCCGTTCTTCTCATCCTTCTTCCTCCGTTCCTCGAATCAAACCCAGTATATCCTGTAGGCCCATTACCTCAATTCGCGGGCTGTTTCGAGTATGATATGATGGCAATGCTATGCCATCAAACGAATACGAAAGGGATTAACCTCCGATCATCCCTTGGATATCCGCTTTGTAATTATGGATATGAATATCCACACACCACCTGAACGGCGTCCTTACGTGTGTGTCATTCAAGGTTCTATCATCATGAGGTCTTCTGTAAGCCCGCACCATCGTTCTACAACGTGAGTCATCTTCATTCTGCTCTTCTACATTGTCCCGTCAAGTATCTCTATTTTGCTCTGAATCAGCACACAGTCACTCATTGCCACAACCTCAACCGTTTACTTCTTTTTCTGCCCTGATACTCACTAAAGAATAACTTGATCGAAGATTCAATTTCTCCCAACTATCTCGGTACCATTCTCCTCGACTTAGAGACATACCCCCCCCTACGGGTTACTGGACAGCTAAAGGCCGAGCCTTACGACGATGGGCCTCCTCACCCCGAAGAATCTTCGCCATACTCTTCTCTTTCCATGGCCTCGCTTGGTTAGGAGTGTACATCTGGTTACTTGGCTACCCACCCCAATCAATGTGCCACTCAACCTGCGACGCCGACAACTCCCCCCGCCAGAAGTGGTTCGAGATTGCCACCCAGGTCCTGTACGCTCACAACTACCTCCCGGGCCTCATGGCTGCAATCTGTAGATCTTTGGACATGTACCTGTGGGGTCGCTGGCGACTGGGCGGCTCGCTCCGCACGCGCCAGAGAGCGTTCGCCACTCTCGCCTGGATCCATGATTGCTGGTTCAGGCTCGATGACCAAGCCTCCTCCATTGCCAGCGACTTGGTGGATGTAGATGAGGAGAAGCAGCAGCAGCAGCAGGTCGAGAAGGAAAGAGAAGCACTGGTACCAAGGGCACCACCGACCCCGATGTATAAGCTGGATCTGGTGGTCTGGAGCTATATTCTCGGTTCCGTCTTGAATGTGGGCCTCGCGGTCTGCATGTGGGAGCTGAATCGATCGACCGACCCTACTGGCTCCCAGGCTATTTGGCATTTCTTGCGGGCGTCGTGATAACACCCGCGGGGGTGATTATCTGGTCGGAGAAGAGGCGCGCGCGTGTTCATGCTTCAAGCCATTGCAGGACCAGCACCGATGCTGAAAGCATAGACAGTGAAAGGACATATGTCGAAGGCACGGACAGTGAATGGACAGATGTTGTATCCCACGGCTCACAAACAGGTAGGCAGCCTACCTTTTAGTAGTCATCTGCGTCGTTTCCTTCAATGTCCACAAATTGACTGTGGCCCACGGCCGGTCAAGATCTTTCTTATGCGGCTGTAGAAGGCCTTTCTCGCTCGTACGGCCGGTGAAGATCTTCCTCGCTCGTGTGGCCTGCAGCCGGTTAAAATCTTTCTTACTGAACTATATTTTTGTATATATAGTAGTTCTCGTTACCCGCGGAAGAGATATAGGTCAAAAAACCACATCAAAAATAGCTATAAAAATAAAAAAAATCAATTAAAAATAGCGTACGGCCTCTGAAGGCCGGGAAGTATTTTTCTTATATAAAAACTATTCTATATTTAGATAACATAATCTTAAATTTAACAAATATATCAAAATTGAATTATAATTTAAATTCGGTGAAAAACTCGTTTTTTTCGATATAATCTTTCTAATATAGTTAGTATAATTCTAAAAATAGGTCTAAAAAATTGATAAATAGGTAAATTTCCAAAACTTTAAAGACCTTCAAAAAATATAAAAAAAATGGCTGAGTTATTTAAATTTTAAAGTAAAAAGTCCAAAAAACTATATTTTCATATGGTATAAGTAGATTATTATTCTAAATAATATAAAGAATAGTATAAACTGTATAATATTATTAATATATCTAATAATTGATATTTGTTATGGGACCAAGGCCCTGATATAAAGCTCAGCTTCAGACACCAGTTGGCGCCTGAGGCCTCGCACGCTACTTACTAAACTAGCGCTAGCTTAATATATATAAAGAAATTTTATATAAATAAATAAAATAGCTGTTCTGTTATTTCTTCTTATTTTAAAATATATTTTAATTAATAGAATCTATTTATTTTAAAATATTAGAAATAGCTTTTTAAAAAAAGTCCTAAACAGAGTCCTACTAGATATATAAATAAAATAAAATAAAATTAAAAAAATTATAAAAATAATAAAATAAATAAATTAAAAAAAATTATAACCGACTGTAGTATCTGCAGCTATATATAATAATATATAATTTTTTTTATAAAAATTAATCAGCTTTTATATAAAAATAATAAAATAAAAACTAATTTTTAAAAATTGTTAAATAAATTATAAAATTATAATATAACTTTTATTATTAATAGTAAATTAAAAGAAAATCTTCTACAGTAATTATACAAACCGAACTATAAATCCTCTTTTTAATATTTTAATATAAAATTATTTAATAAAAAAAAATATAATTATAAACTATTTAAATTAAATATATATATAAAATTTATAACTAATAGAAATTGTTATTTTATTAGATCGGAATAAATTCTTTATATTTATAATTAATTATACTGACGGGCAGTATAATGAATATTTCTTAAATTAAATTTTAAAATATTAAAATAATATAATTTAAAGATATATTTATAATAATAAATAAAATATTTAAAGATTTTAATATACAATAAAAAACCTTAAACTAGATAAATATAATAAAATAAAAAAATAAAATTAAAAATTTTTTTTAAATAACTTTAAGAAAGTCTTATTATAAATAAAAAAATATAATTAATTAAATAAATATAAAAGCGCTATATTAATTACTACAGTAAATTAAAAACTTATTAAAAAATTAATTAAAATCTTTTAAAAATTTATATATAAAAATTATTATAACTAACTGTACTGTATAAATTATAATTTTAATAAAATATTTTTTTTAAAAAAATTATATTAAAATTATACCGGCGCGATGTAAACTAAATTTTAAATTAATAAAATAAAAATCTATTTAAATAATTATTATATAATTAAAAAAAATTATTTTTTATATAACTATTAATAATCTCCAGAAATAAATTTAATAAATAATATTTAATAAAATATAAAAAAAATATAAAATAAATTACTACTTTTATTATAGATAGAATAAATATTTTATTTATTAATATTTTTAAAATCTATTATATAATTAATAAGTATAGCTGCTGCTATATTTATTTTTAATAATAAAAAAAATAATATATCTTTTCGAATAAAAACTCTAATTTAAAAAAAGAAAAAGTCTAATATAAAATTATATATTTAAATAAGAATAATTTAATAAAATTAAAAAAAAGTAGAAAAATTTTAAAAAGAAATATATAATTATATATATTTTTTTTAATAAAAATTATATTAAATCTTACTACAACTGCTTATATTTTTATTTATTTAGAATATTTAATTTATAGTATTATAAATAAAATATTTATTAAAATAAATAATCTATTAATTATTAGTATCGATCTAAAACCGGTATAAAAAATCTTAAATAATAAAACATTAATCTGTTTTATTATATAAATAAAAATAAATATAAAATTCTATATAAAAAACGAAGTATATTTTTATATAATATTTAATAATTCGAAATATAATTTAATTTTAGAAAAAAACTAGCTGTTCTGTTATAATAGGATTTTAGAACCGGATTAAAAATAATTATTTTTATATATAATTAAAATAAGATTAAGAAATCTATTATATTTATAATATACAAATCTAAAATTTTAGCTAATTATAAAAATAAAACTTAAAAACTACCTATAGAAAAGATCTAAAAAAAGATAAAAATATTTATTATCTTTTTTATTAATATTTAAAAAATAGTCTAAATTAAAAAGACGGTCGATCTATATATAATACTTTTTAAATATTATTAGAATTTTCTATTCTTTTTTTAAATTAGAAAATACAGAGAAACTACTGCTATACTAAAAAAAATATTAATTATAAAATTAAACTTATATATTAAAAAAAAAATCAGAAGTTCTATAGGATTTTTTTATAATATATTTTAAAAAAAACTAACAGTTCTATAGTTTAAATTAATAAAACTATTAGAAAAATTTTATATAGATTGCTACTTCTCAGCAGCAGCTCCGATACTTTTTATATAAAAATTAAAAAAAATTTAAAATTTTATATAAATTATTAAATATTTAATATAGATATAAAAAAAAACTGCTACGTGCTTTCTTTAATTTATAAAATTTTAAATTAAATTAAAAAACGAAATAGTTTACTAAACTAAATATTTTATTTATTTTTTATAAAATTTATATTATAGAAGATTAATAATAAATAATAACTTTTTATATATAGTATAAATTATATAAATAATTAATAATATTTTTTAAATTAAATAAATATTCTAAAATATCTTTTCAAAAATATATTAATTAGATATTATATAAATATCTTAATAGATTCTACTCGATCTATATTAATAATATATTAATTTATATAAATAGAAATATTAAAAAAATATTATAAATATATATAAAAAAAAATTATAGAAACTGAAGAAAGCCGGTTTATTTTTTAAATATTAAAAAAATAAATTTAAATATAAGAAAATCTTCTATTTTAGATTTATCATACACGCAGAGTAAGATATTAAAATAGATTTCAAAAAAATTAAAATAATTATTTTATAAAAAAATTTTAAATTAGTAAAAGCCGTTCGAAGCTTTTTAAAATTTATAAATTTTTATTATAAATTTATTTTTAGATTTTTAATTATTATATAATTATTTATAAATCTAATAAAGAAAAATCAGCTCTTCTAATAAATCTAAATATATAAAATAAATTTTTAAATATTAAAAATAAAATTTACAACCGAACTGATTTTTTATTTTTTTAATTCTAAATATATAATAGTAGTAGAAATAGATTTTTTAGATTATAATATAAAAAAATACTTTTTTAAATAAATAAATATAAAAAGCTGTATTTTTATATTTATTTTTTAAAAAAAAATACCTCAGCTGAATATAATTATAAGATCTATAATAAAAAACTACTAATAGTTATACAGTATTTAAAAATATAAAATATTAAATTATATTTAATATTAGAATTTATAGTAGTAATTAATTATAAAAATTTAGAATATTTTTTTAAATTATATAAACTTATAGAAAGATATATATAATAGAGTTTAATTTTAAGCAGATTTAATTTTAAATTAATCTATTAAAAAGAAATAAAAAATAAATAAATAGATATTTTCTTACAACAAAAACAGAATATATCTGATAAATAAGATTTTAAAATATAATTACATATAATTTAGATTTTTAATAGAATAAAAAAAAATCTAAAATATAAAACTAATTTACTTATAGTAGCTTTAGTATAGTTATAAAAATATAGAATAAAATTAAATAAAAACTTTTGAAAATAAATATAAAAAATTAATACAAAACTGTTAAAGTTAAAAGATAAATTAAAAAAATTAGACTTATATTCTAATAGTAGATATAGACTATTAAAATCTAGCAAAGCTTATATAAAAAAAATTATAGAAATTCCTATTTTAATTAAAATTAAAAATTTTTTTAAATAAATATATTACGGGACGGATGGATTGTGCTAATCAAAACGTGCCTTAAAACAAGAAGAAATAGCTAAAGAGCTATTTTATCTGTTCGTACGAAATTTTTTTATATATATTAAGCTAGTGCTAGTTTAGTATATAGCGTACGAAGCCTTAGATATTAATTAATATTTAAAGCTGAGTTCTATATTAAGATTTTAATTTTATAATAAAAGTTCTTCTTCTTTTCTTATCTTTCTTCTATAACTTTTATTCGTACGAATAATTATTTAGAATTTAAAATAATAGTTTTATATTTTAATTTTTCGTCCAGATGATGTTATAACTGATTAATAAATAATATATATATAAATAGAATCTGCTTTATTTAATATAATTTTTTTTTATATAATCTTTTTTTATTTATTAAATACTATAATTCTCTAATAAATAAAATCTTTTTTTATACTATTTATAT